TGTGGATTCAATGTTTTATATTCAGTGTGAGTTTGTAGCCTCGTGTTGACCAGCTCAAGCACAGCGAACGGATCGCTTTTGCCTCCCATATCCTTGGCCTGGAGATCTTCTGCACGGAATACTGAAAATAGTGCATTGAAAACTCTTGTTTACTCTGCCATTGTCCGAAGTATCGTTTCACTGGAAAGGATGTATGATATGGTTTTATTGCATATTATGTATGTTATTATTTCACATAATTGATATTATTGCATCCGGTTTCGTCGAAATAGAGTTTTAGATTCTCACTTTATGTCAGAAAGGATTGTTCATTAGAGCCACCTGTTTGAAGACAAATCTGCGGAGAGGTCCGTGCAGACTACGGTGACTCGTAGCAGATCAGCGCAGCTTATTGAGATAGCTTTCCGAACGCTTCATTTTTTTCGCTTCCGCCGTATTTTGTCTTCCCGTGCTAGCATTGAATTATCTGTTTACTTTTGCATGAATGCAAATCCAACAATCCCCAGTTTCGCAACGGCTTATAGAATTACGCATCCCTGTCAATTAAGTAGAGCCTTCAGGAGTGTTTTTACCTTTTACCGTCAGTTGTCCAATGTCTTTGATATCTTTGAAAGTGTGTCGTATATCCTAAAACAGCAACTGCTATTAGATTATTACATATTTCCGCTGAACATACATATTTCTCCACTATAGAGTGTCTCAAATCATTCTGATCGAACTCAGTCAAATCAACAACATTGTCGGTTGAGTGGCTCCCCGACACAGTGATCAACAGTAACAAAGATCCCGAAGCCTCTTCCAAATCATACCATTTTTGGACGGTCTCATCACGTGGAAACTCGTGCAGGTCAACTGCAATCCTAGAGAAAATGAAGAGGTTTTGACGGAGAGAAAAACTGGAGGCAAAGGCACATTGTACTGTCAATTAACAAGGTAGGTATGACTCTAAGTGACTTACTTTCCAATACATGTCGTGGTCCGCTTATCCTGGCACATGATCTCTAACGTCTCCGAGCCAAACTCGTAGATATGCAAATCAAACTGTTCAATCCATTTCGGATCGGAGCAGCGATTGCAAACCTAAAGAATCAGCAATGAGAAACCAGTGGCCGT